CTCTGAGGTTTCTAATGGCTCAGAGGAGCTGTGGCTGCCCCATCCCTGGAAGTATCCAAGGTCAGTTTGGACAGGGCTTGGAGCAACCTGGGATAGTGGAAGGTGTCCCTGCCCATGGCAGGAGGGTGGAATGAGATGGACTTTAAGGTCTTTCCAACCTAAATTACTCTGTGATTGATTCTTAGCAAGTGTTAAAGCACGAGCCGAGACACAGAATCCCTTCAGATGCAAAAATTGGAATCTAAGTGCTGGAAGAACCTGTTAGTGTTTCATTTTTAACTTCCTCCAGTCACAAGATGCTACCCAAGATTAAGTTGCTATTAAAAATAAACCCTGTAGCTTCCCAAAGGCAGTAGAAGAAACTGAGCAACATCTAAAATGCCGTATAAATTAAGGCTGTAAGGAAATGCAGAGGGGAGGGGGGCACAAAGCACATTCCCCTAATGCCAGTAAGTGGAGGAGCTAAGGGAGATCTGCTTGTCATCACCTCCCAGTTTTAATACCCAGATATTTTTGCCCACAAGGACTGATCACGTGTTAAAGACAAGCAGCAGTTCTGCCCTTCTGGTTCAGAAATGTGTGATTTTGGGGGCACCACTAAGCTGGTCATCCCACACCCACAGGAAGGGCCTGGCTGTGGGGGGGTTTGTCGCTGCATTCTCTAAACAGTGGGGTTTTTGGAGCCTGCAGATGCCCTCCAGCTCGCAGAGGGGATCCCTGCAGGAGGGGTTTAGCGTGGCCGCTGGTGGTGCCAGCTGGGCTGTCCGTGCCATTGGTGTTACTGAACCAGCGCAGGGCTTTGGCATAAAGCTTTGAGTTATATTGATCTTGTCGGTTACTATGACTTCTTTTTTTTTTTTTCCCCCCTTCAATTGCATCATACCCTTAAAAAACGGTGGTAAGTGAGAGCTCTGCATGCTTTGGAGTTTGTTTAACCTCCGCTTCAGTCTATACAACGCACAAGTCATGACGTTAACACTCTTAAAACTTCCTCATTCACGTTCACAACTAATTTGGATTTCAGTTTGCTGTTTTTAATCTTTTCTTTAGTCTGATTTTGTACTGGTTTTTCTGTTGTTCTGTTGCCCCCTGGTTTCGCTGAGGGTTCGGTCTCTGTCTGTACTGTACTGGGGATGCTTTTCCAGCAGTTACTGGCTCACCAGGATAGCGACGCACCGAGGAATCTTCCTCGGTCTTTTTCTCTCTGTTTAGGCGTAGATGGGACAGGGACGAGTGGTGGGGATCCACCATCACTAAGTATTCCAGTAGGCTTTTTTGTTGGGTCTCTGTTAGGAAAACACCTGATGGCAGCCTTCATAAATGTGAAACTTCTTCTTTTTTTTTTTTTTTTTCTTTTTTTTCTCCAAACACAAACCTCCTGATCTGAAATGGGCATTTAAATATTTGAGCAGAGAAGGGAGAACGGTTATTTTTCTAGCGAGATCTCCACGGTGCAGTTCGATATTGCTGAAGTCCAGCCAAACAAACTCCCAAAGCTGTCGATGGTGTTTGTCAGAGCCGAGAGGAGTCTCGGGGGGCAGCGCTGGGTTTGGGGCCCGGGGCTCGTCCGGCCCGGAGCGCGGAGCTCGGCCTGCTTTCAGATCTTTCGATTCCCAAAAGATGTTTGTGGAAGGAAGCCGTAGATTTCCTCTGCTGTGCTTTGTGTTTCAGTACCTGATGTGTCTCTGTATATCTCACTGTATATACAACAGCACATTGATGTCTGGCTGTCCTTCCTAGTCCCAGTTCTCTGTACCGTGTCCGATAGTTACTGTTGCTGGTAATGGAACTCTGTGGACACCGGTGTGTCGCTAGTCTGTTATTTTGGCTGTAAAGCTCTTGGTTTGTGGTTAGTTCTTTATTTTTTGGAGTATTTTTTGTTCCGGTCACTGTCTGTGCTAGCGGTGGCTTTGCCTCTCCGTTGCCTTGAAGGTCCAGGTGGAGTAATGTCCCCTTTTCCCGACATTACTCCTGGCGTGTGCTCATGCGGATGCCTACACTGTAAGACTGTAATTTCCATAACTGCTTCATGTGCACTAAGCACCCTTGTGGAATCCTGCTGAGAGTTTCTCAAAGACTTCCCATGAAAAATCCCTCTGGCACAAGGTGGGAACAGCAACTCTTGAGTGCCCCAACCAGCAGGGCCTGAATTGGTCCCCCCCAAAATCCACCTATGGGAATGTTAACTTCCAGGATTGGTTTCTGTACTGCTGTTCAAATGCATTTCTGTCTTCTGTACTGCAGCCTGGGAGAAAATACAGTGTTTGAGAATTCGAAAAACAGTCCAATTGCTCGTGAAAGAGTTAATGCCAAACATTCCTCATTGGCAGATGTTTCCCCCCCAATTCTTAAGAGCAGTCTTTTGCCAAGGGACATGGGCAGGACGATGCTGTCGGTGTTCTGGAGGTGTCACAGCTCCTGACTCTTCCTGGTGACATCGGGTGGCGCTGCCCAGGGACCACAGTTGGGGCTGGAATCGAGTGTTCCCCTTCAGCCTCCTCCTAACCTGGTCCCTTCTAATTAAACATTGAGAAAAATGGGGAGGGCAGAGGTGGTTTCATCCATGGAGGAAAATGAGTTTTGGGGTATGTCCCTTCTGAGCTGTATACCAGGAATTACCCATGAGCAGTGGAGAAATGGCTTACAAATTGAAATATATATATGAAAAATAAAGTCAATGCAAGCAAACAACCAGCAGGATTTTACAACCGAACCGTTGGTTTGTCTCCTCATCTATTTTTTATGAGATTGAACCACTGGAACTTGGGGACAAGATGAGTCTTGACCATGTTGCACCAATCTGTCCGCTACAGTTGCAGTCCTTCATGACCAGCATTCCAAGTGTTAACTAAACCCATTGAAGCAACATACCTGCCATTAAACCCGAATCCAGAACAGTAACTCCATGACTCCTTGCACTCCCGACTGGAATGGCCTTTGATGCTGTAGATAGATGATTTGCTGCTCGCAGTGCGGCCGCGGTGCTGGGCAAACACTGACTCTCTTTTTCTTTCCTTCCCTTGTTTCTCCGGGATCGCATCGGGATTCTTGCTGCAGATGATGAACCAGCTGGGCCAATGTAAGTGTGTTTTAAGGAAAAAAGTACTATTTGGGTTAATCTGGGGGGTTGTGGGAGGTGGCAGAACATATGATTGATGGTGTGTGCCATTACGGATGGTAACGGACACTGGTGTGTTGTTTGCTAGCACTGGAGGAAAGAAAAGCAACATCTTGCTAGAAAATAAATACTGTGGTACAGTATGATGTCTGAAAGCTGTATTGTCTTCAGCCACTTAAAAGAGAGGAAGAGGGAAATGCTGTTGAAATAATGATGTATAAATAATTGCATATAATTATGTACAGATAAGTACAAATAACATACATTTTCCCTGTGTTTGTGGCTGATTTTGGTGCGTTTCTTTACAACTTCTTTCTCCAGGAAAACCAATTCTACAAACAATCACAAAGATAAAAACTTACGCCAGAGAAACACAAATTAAAAATGCTCATCATGTAAGTATTCCCCGTGCCCTGCTGGGAGAGGGCAGGCTCAGCCCTCCCCTGGCCGTAGCGGTTGGGGCGCGGAGGCAAAGCGCGTCCCACGGATTCAAACGCTCCCGGCTGCGCGGAGGACGGCGCTGGCCTTCCTGCCGCGCCTCAGGGAGCGCTGGGGGGCACCCAGCCATTGCTTGCCTAAAGCAGGCGGGTGGTTTAACGCCCCACCTGCTACACAAACACTCACTGCAGTTAAAACGCCGCCCCCTCTCCGCGGGGGCAGGAGTGGCGCTGGCCCCGGGGGCGGCCGCGCCCCTCCCGCGAGCGCGTGGATTGCAGGCTGGCGGCTCGCGGGGTCCACCATTGACTAGCACCTCTTTCTCGTTTCTTTTTTAGAGCTTTAAGTTTCTGAGAGACTGATGGCAATATGACCTGCTAAATTTAAGGGTTGGAACTCTTGGTTCTAGAACTCCAGTTCTGATTTCTTTTTTTTCTTTCCTTTCCAAGTGAGCAACGATATGACTGTCTAACGCATGCCTTATTTAGCCTCTCCTGCAAGGATGACCTAGCCAGATCAATTTTAATAATGCTTCCGTGTAGAAGGTGTAAACTATTTTGGGCTTGATGTGCTGTGAATGTTGCTTTTTTTTTTTTTTCCTTTACTCTCTTTACCATGAGCAGTAGCCAGGCGGGTTCACGCATGCGCCATTTTTTACTTCCTGTAGCTGTTAAATTTGGCACCGCTCAAACCGCACCGCTGCCATCTAGTGAGACTTCTTTTGTAAAGTACAGCAGAACTTAAAAATATATACAGTATATATTTATATTGGGGGGGGGAGGGGAAACCAGAAGTCATTGTGGTTCATTTTGAAGCTGCTGATATTCATTCCTTACTGTATGGCTGAGAGGAGAGAGCGATGCCGGGCTGGCACTGGGACAAGTGAGACATGGGAATTACCTTAAGGGCTTAACTGAGGAGCACGGGGTGTCCTGGGCGGTGGAGCTGGGGTGGTTCCAGGGGGTGGTGGTGGTGGTGGGATGCAGTTGGAAACAAAAACAAACCTTCAGTTTATAAATATATATATATGATTGCTTTTTAAGTGATTTTTTTTTTTTTTTGTTAACTCATGTAAATTCTCAAATCCTTTTGCACTGATGTGTTCAACATATTCTTGTACATTCAATTCAGGCAAACTTTTATAATTTTTTTTTTGTTTGTTTAAATGATGAAATGTTACAGCATGGTGATATTCTATGCAACTAGTTATTCCTCTTTAGTTTGACACTGTAATTTCTCATGATTTAAAGATTGTAGAAATAGACCTACCAGGGTTCTCATGATGTGCGTAACTGTAGCTGCATGAACTCGTGTTCTGTGTATTTGTTGAAGTGCAATGATGTATAAAAAGTGGATTCACCTGTTTTTAAAAATAAAACACTGACAAAAAACCCCAGGGGTCTTTGTTTTTCAACAATTTAATCATTTTGGTACACAGTGGCATTTCTCAACCTTCTGTGAGTTTCTGCAGTTCCTTCTCCACGTCCTCCACGAAGGCTGGGAAGTGCTGGTCCATGAGGCAGAGGCGGATGAAGGGCCCCAGCTCCTGTGCAGGCCACACCACGTGCCTGTAGGCCAGGGGCAGCTCGGGCCTCCTCCTCAGCACGGACTGGGGAAGGAACAAACCAGAGGGGTTGCACTGCCCTCGGACACAGCAGGGCCCGAACAACACACGTACATCCCAGTTTCCTCTGACACTGGATCAAGACGGATCTGCCCTGGTTCAGTGCTGTTGATGCCCTGATCAGGTAGGACTGCTTGTCTGCAGGATTTTCTCTGGTGCCCAGCTCTGATCCCAGTGTAGTTTTTACACAATGTCAAATTTCACTGCAATTACGTCAATTGGAAATTTACACTGGAAGTGCCAGTTTCCTGGGCAGTGTGGCTTCCATTCCGTGTCAGAGCAGTGGATCCCACATGAAGCATCCACACTGCCACATGAATTGTGTAGGGATAACAGGTGTGCACTTCCAAGGTCTTAACTTAGTAAAATGTCTTGTAGAAGTAAATCATGGGGCTTTTGAAGTGCTAAAACATCTTTTTCATCCCTGTTTAACCACCTCCCTTAGCTTTTTCCTCTGGTGGTGGGAGAACTCTGGGCATTTTATCACTGGTCAGTGTAAATCAAATGAGTGGCAGCAGAGTGGAGGATGCAGGACATGGGCTGTGGAAGCCCTGGCTGCCTCCAGCATCCACAGGCAATGCCTGGAGAAAGGCACAGCCTGATGGAACCATCTGTGTTTAAGGGATGACAGATTCATCTAATAGGGAGCATGGGAATTGTCCCTTGTAGCACTGATGCAAAGAACATGGATCATTCCCTGCCTGTGCTAGGGGGTGGGAATGAGATGAACTGTAAGGTCCCTTCCAACCCAAAAGAGGTTTGGGGTTCTGTGATCACCCTATGACTGTGGAAAGACCCAGAGAAACAACTGCAAAAACAGAAGATGGAAAGAGTAGAGTTTCCTGCTCATCCATCTCCTGCACTGGTCCAAATTCCTAGTAAAGGAGCGACAGTTCATTTCCAGTTATTTACCTGGAGAGCTGCCATTGAATATGGAATCTTCTGCTGCAGGGCAGGGATGAGAAGGCTCCAGGGAGACCTTAGAGCCCTTCCAGTGCCTAAAAGGGCTTCAGGAGAGCTGGAGAGGGACTTTAGACAAGGGATGGAGGGACAGGACAATTAGCAGTGGCTTTCACTGCCAGAGGGCAGGGTTAGATGGGATATTGGGAGCAAATTCTTCCCTGTGAGGTGGAAGGGTGGTGAGGCCCTGGCACAGGTTGTGCAGAGCAGCTGTGGCTGCCCCATCCCTAGAAGTGTCCAAGGCCAGTCTGGACAGGGCTTGGAGCAACCCGGGATAGTGGAAGGTGTCCTGCCCATGGCAGGGGGTGGAAGGATATGAGCTTTGAGGTCCTAGCCCGCCCAAATCATGTTTCTCTGATTGGTATTTTGAGATTTCAGCTCTGCCTGCAGAAGTCATTTCTGCAGAGTCAAACCAGTGCCAAAGCCATTCACTGGGATGCTGCCTCTGGGTATTTAGTTGCTCTCAGTGTGCCATTTGTTCATATGCAAATGGAGTAATTACACCCCCACATACCTGGGATTGACACAGATCCCATGTTTTCTGCTGTGGATGATGGCATCCTGATGCTCAGGGAAGATATTTACCAGATGTTTATGGAATCTGAGTTCATTCTCTCTCTGTGCTGACACATTCAGCTGAAGGATCTAAATATTGGTCTGTTGTGTTTTTACCTGTGCTAGCTGCGCTACAGATCTTCTTTCTCCAAGGCTTGTGCAGGAATCTTGTAGAGACTCATCTGGCTGGAAAATATCAAATGCAAATAAGGGCTTGTTACCAAGCAGAGTGTGGGTATGTGCAAGAGGGAAGTAGTTCCATTTTTAGAGCTGACGGGAAGGGAATGTGCTCAGCTACCTTATGCAGTAAAAAGGCATCTTTTTATGGAACCTGCATGCACATCTGCTCAAGTCTTTAAAAATCAAAGATACGGCCATTTAACTCCAGGCCCATGATTTCATGTCTAAGTTTTAAACTACTTCCTAGAAGTAACTTTTAAAAAAAGCTTTATATGAATGCTCACAGGAACATGCTGCTTCCTTCACATGGATCTAAACTCAAGAGAGCATGTATTTAAGAATAAGTCACCCTCAGAAACTTTCTGCCTTTTTCGTTTACATCTCAGAGCTTTGTCTTGGAGAGGGGAAACATTCTGTTCCTGTAAATCTGCAGTTGTAGCAATCACTACCACTGCAACCCAAAAGAAGACACAATACAGGGTTACTCAATGGCTCTGCTCATTTTTTTACCCTGTACCATTAATTTGAAAATCTGCCAGGTGGGTCCCAACTCATATCTCGTGGACATGGTCTCATAGTTGCCAGAAACGTAATTTCCAGCTCCAGCACCAGTAGCTGGTTTTCCTTGTGTGTGTGTTCTGACTTACTCCATGCTCGGGGTCCATGCCCTGGTTTTCCTGGCTGAGGCCGTGGTACAGCTGCTGGCTCTGCTCCTCAGCCTCGTGCACGGGAACGTACTCGGACAGTTTGTGAACACAACTGCAGCAGTGTCCCAGCATCTCCTCCTTGGAACTCCCACCGAACTGCACTCGGAACATGCGGCACTCGTTCTGCTCAGAAACCACAGGGGAAGTAAATTAACTGTGAAAGCCCTCAAACTGCTTTGATTTTATGAAATCCCTGCTTGTTAAAGTTGGGAAGCGGGTAATGGATTCTTGGGTCACAGCACCAACTTAAAAACTAACATGTTTTCCCTGCTGTATTTTCATTTTTTTCCCAGCAGCTAAATTTGAAAATCAGTCAAAAATATGTAAGAAAAGGGTAAGTAAGAGATGCAGGACCACCTGTCACTAATTAAAGGTATTGTCACATGAACAAACCTTGCCATGACAACAGTTTTTACACACAGGGTTTTTTTTATTGTTGCTGCAAGTAGTATCTTGTAAGGATGGGCCAACTTGAGTTTTCTGTGACAAAAATGGCATGACACTACAGCAAGAAGTTAACTCTGGAATCTGAACTAGAAGTTCTGGGAATGGTATGTTCCAGTTGGGATTTGTTCCTGATGGATCAAACCCAGCCCTTCCTACCTACCTGGTCTACCTGTGTGTAGCTAAACCTGAACATTGTTTGGCTTTCACCTGAATGTTCCTGGAACAGAAGCCAACACATTGAAGGGAGTGCAGGAAATCCCAATGTCTTGCTTTAAACAGTGAAATGCTACTCAAAATGAAAGAAACCCAGATAACTCTGACCCCCAGTATAGGTTGTCAGGCTGTACCACAACAGATATTTTTAAGTGCCTGAGGTCCAGCAAACTGCCCTGAAATGGGGATGGCAGAGTCTGCTGTGTGTGATAAGCTTGGCCTAAGCACCCTGAGCTGATGTAAGGCAGATGCATGTTGAATGTTTAGGGAGTAAATTAATGGGACTTCTCGTTTGATCTTGAACTTTCCAATTTAAAAGAGTCAAACTATTAGAAAAGCAGCGAATTTTCCTTGGGCCAGCCTGGCTTATTGGAGTGTTCATCCTCTGAGCTGGACACACTGCCAGGCTGCAGGTACCAAGTGCAGGGACAGCTCTCGGTGTAAGGATTTCTGTCTCAGCCACGAGCCAGCTCTTCCTGACAGCCCCTGTGTTTACATGCCTGTTGTTTTGTTTGTATCACATAAAATGATTTTTAGGGCAGTGTAAGCATAAAACTTTGTCTTTTTGCCCTTTGGAGGGAAAAACCTCACACTAATGTGAAGTGTAGCCCTCATTTTACAGTGCCTGGTTGTATTTGCTCTGATTAACTAAGATGTAACTGCAGAGCTGCACAAAACCAAGAACTGGTCTGTGAGATGCCAGACAGGTAAGTTCTCATTAAAATGACAGAAAGGGAACTTAACTTGATTTCCTTTTGGAGACTTTGGAAGACCACTTGTTTTAGTTACCCTTTTTTGACTTTGCAATGAAATGTTCTTCCTTTCTGGAAAGAGAGCTGAGATGATGTCAAGGTAAACCTTGACATAACCTGAGTACTGGGCAGTCACACCTGAACCTAAAGCTGATGTATTAAAGAACCCTGAGTCACCTGGATTTGCACTTCTTCCATCCTGGGGTGGGGGGCTGAGGTCAATGAAAACAATATGCAGTGAAATGACTTATTGTAAGAATATTAAGAACTTTCACCTTGCTCCTGTTTATATGAGAGGCTCCAGCCTCATTCTGCTTAGAGTTCACAATGCCCTACTGAAATCATACTAAGTTTCACTATAAGTGCAGTATTAATGACTTAGAAAAAACAAGTACTTACAAGATAAATGCCAAATTTATCAGAAAGATGAGCACAGAAGCTTCATACACTGACAGCATTAAAGGCATCACTTCAGCTACAACTTGGGACATAAAGGGTATGGTAGAACCACTGCAGAGCCACTAAATCCAGTCTGCCACGTGAATTTGAGGTAAGTAAACATTTAGATGCACCAGATTTATTTCAGACTATGTAAATATTCCTCCTTGCCTGAACTGTCCCTCAGAGATTTGTTAAGCCAGACTGTGATGTTTTTTGTTCCTGGAGAGATGCAGCAGAATCCCTGTGCTGGGGGACTGGGCCTGTTAATGGCAAAGGGAACAAACTCCTGAGTCATCAGCACCAATTCCTGCCCCAGGGGAGACTTGTCTGCAGTGACAGGCCATGTTTTATAAGAAGCTGATAAAAACCACAAGGCAAAGATGTTTCAGTTTCAGGCACAAGCCATGAATTTAAAACAGTAACATACTTTAGGAGTAAGTATCAGAGTTTATCTAAGAACCAAAAACCTGTAAGATTTGTGTATAAATTGTAACAAGTGCTGTTTGATTATTTAAAGGTGAACAATTCACTTACTGTGAGATCTGAGGGGAAGACCAGAAACCTACACATCCCCTTTGTTGCCTTGAGTACCAAATACTTGAACCACCAACCTACTGCTATTGTGCCAGGGGCCACAAAATGCCTAAATAATTGCTTGTTTGGACAGTTTGTTTGCCAAAGTGAAGTCTGAGTCATGGAAGAAATTCACTTCATCTTTTTAAATGTTAGCCATGGCAGATAGCTGGACTGGTATTTATTACACCATCTGCTTTAGCAGCTAACTCTCAGAGAGCAGGCTAAAACCGCTGAACATTAGCACTTACAAAAGACACAAGATGACTCGATTGTTTAGCATCTAGAGTTTAAAAAAAAAATAAAATTCTGATTTATATAGATGATTTACAATTTCTGGTTTAACATAGCCAATATTAAGACATTTTCTCCAGAAAATCAGCAGTGTTTTAGTGACTATTAGAAGTGTTGAAAGCAGCTCAACTCACCTTTGCCTGTGCCCGGAGCAGCAGGCAGTCTACTCTCCTCACTATCTTCAGCCACTTGTGGGAATCAATCAATGAAAAGCCCTCCTGAAATAAAGCAGGACACAAAACACTTGCACAGCAAATATGCAACACTTGGCAGCACACGCTTCAGTTATGTGATGTAATTAAATCCCTAATGAAGATTAGTCACTGTGTTCATGCAATTTTTGTATCTGTCAAACAGCTGCCAATATGGAATTTTTACCACTCTAGGGATTAAATCCGTAGCTCCAGTAACACCACCATGTCAAGGTATGCTCTAATTTCCATTTCTGTTTTCTATTTGTGCATGTTATCAAAGCCTCGATGAAGTGCAGGATGAAGCAGCTGCAGTTAGAGCTGAAGTTGCCCGGGAGGGCAGCAGAGGGCAGGCAAAGCCGGGGAATGGGACAGCACCTGCTTTATCCAGGGAGGCCTTTGCTCCAGATGGCACTCAGGGAAACAAGCAACAGCTCTGATAATTAGATAAAGATGTTTTTGTACTCCAGTTGCAGTACTGTCAGCCTTGTCACCCTAGCTGGGCTGCTCAGCATCCTGTGAGAACACCCCAGGAAGGTGGAAATGTCACACAGCAACTGCAAGGCTACAGACTGTGCCTCCCCAGGCACTCTGAGCCTTTAGTTAGCAAAGTCCAGGGTTAAAAATAAACAATTAACAGATCTAAGGGCAGGGAGGAAATCAGGCACCTGTTTTATGTGAACTCACAGCGCTTTCAACAACCATGGCTTGGGCACGGGCTGCTTTTCAAGGGGTCCTAAGGGTCAAACCCCACAACTCCTGTCCATCCTGGGCCACCAGCAGTGTGCCACAGTCACTGTCCATCTCAGGCAGGTCCAGGCTGGAAAACCATCTGCCATTCTATTTTGGTACAGGAATCACCTCAGTGATTCTGCTCCTTTGCTGTGCTGGCACTGGCTCTATAACCTCAGGCAGCAATTGCATGTAGGTTTTTAACTGCACTTTTACAGTCTAAAAAGCAGTGAGAGGTTGAACCAAGGCAAACTGGATCCCATCACGTGCCATGAGAGACTCCAGAATGTCTGACAGCAGGTAAGTATCATTCCCAAAAGATCTGGGGTCAGAGGGGGTAAAGCATTGCCCTGAGCACGGTAAAGCAGGTGCTGACAGCAGGTATGATGGGCCAGTCCTTGCAGTGTGTCTGCACTGAACACTCCAGTGCCTTAAGCTAGGACTTGCCAAGGTGTGAAAGGCCTCGAGGTCAAAACAACAGGAAGAATTCCCTTCGTGAGCCATGGGAAGAAGTGCAACCAGACCCCCAAATTCTACTATCCTGTTCCTTCACTGGGCCACTTTAACTTATGCCCACTTGTGCTTGCCCTGTTTAGGTAGTTTCTGTTTTGGAGACACACCAACTGTGTTTATTTAAATATAGCTGCTCCCATATTCAGTCTGGTTTTACAGTGTTTTTCCTTTCACTGTAGATGAAGGTTGGACAAATGTAGTCTCCTTTAATTAATAACTGTTTTCAAAGAAACCATAAAAGGCAGCCACCGTTTAACTTTCCTACCAACTATTTTATTGACGTTTCCCAGGTTCTCCTCCTTTTATGTCTCCTGTTTCTGAGGTAAAACAAGCTGGGAAAAAACAGCACTTGGAATTTTTATTTACATATTCCTGATTATTCAACTGCAACCCCAAAATATGATTTAACTGAAATTTAAGTTTAACTGAAGAACAAAGCAGAATATATTTTCTTTCCTCTTGCACCTTGGGTTGATTGTAAATTGCCAAGCAGAAATAAATAACTAAGAAGAGCTAAATAAAATTTAAAAACTCAGTGCAGCCCTTCAGCAATGCACCAGACCTGATCTTGCATGTGCAAACTGCCTGAAAAAGCAGAGGGAAGGTTTCACACAAACTCGGCTCTGCAGAGTGAACTCCACTGTTAAACTATTTACATCAGTAATTGTCATTAGTCAGGATCCTCTAGATTTTCTTCAGTTCTAAGCAGCAAATAAGGCAAATTTTGCACCATGTTAAGGTTTATTCTATTCCTCATGGCTTTTCCATGTTACCTCAGTCGACACAGATTATATTTGAGGCTGCCTGAATTACAGCAAAGTGAGAATCTTAACAAGGACAATTCTCTGTCAACAATGACACAGTTATGAATCACAAAATGGTTTGGGCTGGAAGGGACCTTAAAGCTCATGCCATTCCACTCCCTGCCCTGGGCAGGGACACCTTCCACTAGCCCAGGTTGCTCCAAGCCCTGTCCAACCTGGCCTTGGACACTTCCAGGGATGGGGCAGCCACAGCTCCTCTGGGCAGCTGTGCCTGTGCCTGTGAATTCAGGTGAGTTAGTTGAGAGCAACAAGGAGTCCCTGCAGGTTGGTGCTGCCACCGCGCTGACAGAGCAGGGAACAGCGGCTGTGCTGCTCCCGGAGCAGGCAGCATCCATTGCTGCTCCAGGCAGAGCTGGGCAGGAGCAAAGCCAGATGGCAGTGTAAGATTAACCAGAATAGATTAAAAAGGCAGCCTAGAAATGGGCAGGGACACAAGAGCTCAGATGTTTATAACGTGAAAAGAAAAATGGCAGCACTTTTCTAAGCTTGTTCTTTAACATTCAGTCAGGCACCGACGACTCCTGTCATTCTCCACGACTGCACTTGGAAGAAAACAGAGGCAAAGCCAAACTGTTCCCTACATCTCTGACAAAAATCTCAGTTTCTCAGAGGGAGGACTCTGAGTGAATTAAGCTGAAGCAGAAAACAAGATGTTTCCCAAATGTTTTGGAAGCAGGCAAGATGTGACCACACCTTCCTCGAGGCAGAGAAGGCAGTAATGCTGGTCCTGCCTTACAGCCATCACCAGCATTGACTGGGAAATACTTTTGTTCTGACTTCACACTTCAGCATTCAAAAAGCTGCTGGGCAATGAGCTCTGTGATCTGTTTTGGAAGGTATTGCATGTTATTTATAAGTATTATTTTATTAGATCATCTGGAAACCCTCTGGTGCTAAGCAGCACAGGAACATTTTTTGTCAGATTGCAACCCTATCTGAACTAAAAATTAATATATATTTAAAAAATGTTATTCGTGTACCAGTTCAGCTAGGCAGGCTTGCATCAATTAGTTTGGATTCACTCATTCACAAGGCAGATGTTTTCAAACAAAACTATGTGTAAACAACAGCTTGGGAGGAAAAACCTTTTTTTGTTGTTGGTTTGTTTTTTGTTTGGTTTTTTGTTTGTTTGTGTTTTTTTGGTCACAAACATAATCTGATCTGCCCTTAAATTCCAACCAGTATTAAAGAAGACAAAGAAAACCCGGAATGCCACAGCGAGACACATTCTCCAGTTTGGGCTGCCACTTCTAATAGGCTCATGAAATGCAACTGTAAGAGTTTCTTCTCTGGGTTCACAGTTAGAATGAATGTATAAGGTGTATAATGTTATCTATTAAGGACTCAGCTGGGTATCCCACGGACTGGGAATGTGCATTTCCAAGGAATGATGAGTTCAGATGAGATCAGAGAAGTTCATTGTATTAATTACTGTCCCAGTGCACAGCTGCCAGAGTGGTGCTGGCTGGTAACTGAGGCAAGAGGGCAGAAAAGCCAAAGGCCTCAGCACCATTCTGACACAGGCTGGGCAGCACCAGGGGACACAGTTCCCTGGAAAACAGAGCAATCTACTTCCAAAGTTTCCAGGGAGGCACCTGTGACAGTCCCTTAATCTGCTCCCTTCCCAAGGTGATCTACCAGGACACAAGTGGGCAGCAAAACTAGCACGGAACAGCTCACAGTGCCCTGCCAGAGAGAGCCGAGATTTGGGAGAGCACTTTTGTGGGGAGGGGTTGGAAGCTCTGCTGTTCTGAGCACCCCTCGTGCAACCTCGTGCAGGCCTGCCCAGAACAGACAGGGCTGGGTTAAATAACCTGGCATTTTCAGGGGAGGGAGGCACTGCCCACAGCTCTGCTCACCACAGCGAGGCTCAGGCACGGTGAGAAATCTCTTCGGAAAGAGCATTTGCTACTGAGCTTGCAGGTGTTGTTTGTTAAGCTTCAAATACCAACATTTATCACCTCTAATATTCAAGGTATTATAATTTAACATTCACACCGAGGAACAGCGCCTAATTTGGCAACAAAGGAATGGTAATATTATTTCAGGTATCTGCACTGGGTGGTTCTAATCAAAACAGAACAAAAATACTGTAGTTGTGAAGGCTGTTAATAACCCTTATCTCAAAAGACAGTAAAAATAAAGAGGTGAGAGCAGACAGTCTGAGAAAGCTTGTAAATTGTGTTCAGGTGTTATACAGAACACTAAAGAACAGGCAAAACTGAGATTCTTTTGGAAAACAAGCAAAACTGGAGAACATGTTCACAGGTGAGTGTTTTGATGCTGATCACTTTAATAAGGATTCAGTTTTTAACAGGTTATTATAAGAAATGAAACTGTGCATTTTGGAAACTTGGCATAGAGATTCTAAATCAAATGCTTGCATCTATCTGAAAAATAGCAATTTTAAACTCATTGCCTTCCCAAAAAAGGAGTTGCTGTTTTACACTTTCTGCCACAATGAGGGGTTTTCTATTTTAAAAAATGAAAACTCTTCATTAATGACTGTATTTAGAATAAAGTTGTACTTCCAGCTGAAAGATAAAAGTTGTGAAAATTAAACTTGGAACATAATTTCATTCCCAACTTCAGTATTACCTTGTAACACACCTGGAAGTACAAATTTTCCTCACTTGTATCTTTTTCCAAGATCTAAATAAGGCCAAATACATTAAGTTTTATTTCTGCAGTATGAGCTGTCTCAAAAACCAAGTTAAGAGCACAAATGCCAACACGACAAAATAAAAATAATCCCCAAACAAGAGAACCTGTAGAGGCAGGGAAGCAGAAAGTTGTCCCTGCAAAAATTTCCAACCCCAACAATCAAGGCAGGCAGCCAGGAGTAAGGAATAAAAGGGTGCTAAGCTCTGCATTATCTTTTTGTATGCCATTTTTTTTTTACCTTTAATCTCTTAGAATCTTCAATCTTGCTATTAAGCTTGTTTGATTCTGGAAAAGAACACGAGGGTTGAACTCATTAAACAGAGTGCTCCATGTGTCCAGAGGCAGGAATGCTAAAGGAAATGGGAAATGCAGGACACACCATCCCCCACTGAGGGCACAGAACCGAAAATCTTTGGCCAAAGTGCAGGAGCAAGAGTTTCCTTTCTAGAAAGAGTTCCCCCAGATGGGTACAAACTTCAGCCCCTTGAAGGGGTGAGTAGCAAAGATAAGCCCCTAACTCAGGACAGACCTTGATATGTCACAGTGAGAACCTGATTTGTTGGGGTTTTTTCCTCTCAACTACACTTCAGCAGTGACCCCTGTCCAGGGACGCAGAGAGGGGAGCAGGATGCCCATGGGTGTACCTGGCTAAAGCTCTTCAGGGCATCCTGTGAATTTTCTCATTAATTCATGATGCAAAATGCGTACGTCCCTAGATCAAAGAGCATACACTGAACTCTAACTTTGCAAAGTAAATACACTTCATTAACAGTAGAGATACTAGGGCAAGATCAGCAGCCTTTTACATCAAACATAAATGGAATGCAGGACACTCAGCTTGCCCAAAACAATCACATCAACAGCACGTGTTGAAATGAACAAAGTAAAGTTGAAATTTTTGCACTATGACTGTGGTACTAAATAAGTCACCAAAACTAAGATTCCTTCCACTCTTACAAGTAGCAATCATGGGACCTTCAATAAAAGAACAGCTTCCTGGAGCTCTGCAGTGTACCACCACTAAGCAGCGTTAGCAGCCTGCTCACTGCCTGGGTTTCTGTCAAGTGTCCTCATTTACTGCACAGGGACCATCTCTGCCCAAGGCACTGTTGTGAATATCATCTCAAAAATTTGGTGCCCGAGTCTCAGGCCCTGCAAAGAGAGCATCAGGAACATGAGAATGTCTGCTGAATGCTTGCCTAATTAATGAGTTAGAATCTACTGTACCCTAAGCACTGGTAGCTTATTGGAAGTCATGAGGGGACCAGGAGGGCACTAAGGACATTTAGTCTGCACTTCAAAAGATCAGGTCACAAATCAATTACTCTGGATTAATTTTATCCCATTAAGAAAGTCCTCTTCACAATTTCAATTTGTTTAATTTGTAGGATATTATGAATTCTAGCACCAGAAATAATTGCACTGAATAAAACACCAAAATATCATTTTCATGATGTGTTGATTCAAAGAGGGGAAAAGGAAATAAGAGTTGTGGTAAACAGAACGTGATGTATCCTGAGTATGGCCAGACACTAACAGAGATGCTGTTGAGATATTCCTGTAAAATTCCGTTGTCTACAGTATGCAAGAATGAGGCTTTTCTGCCATCAAATATGCAGTCTGTTAGGCAACACTGCAGCAAAAACAAGTCCTAAAATATGTTACATAATTTAATTCCAAATGAAGATCTTTGTTTAAAAAAAAAACCAAAAAACCAAAACTAAAACACCACAAAACCCAAAACAAAGCAAAACACTCTTTAATTTGCATTACGCATCAGGGATTTTTATGTTCTGGGCTCTGAAGTTCCATTTACCCTCCTCTTCATTCCATTTGGCTGAGTGCAAGGAGTAGATTGTATTTTGAAAGGAAAACAGTTGTTTCTGTATTTATTAAAGCTGTTAGGATATGTGAAAATTTTATTGCTATTTTATAAATATTGTTCTTAGAAACGATAATAAAAGAGCCGTAGGTTCACTGGACTCTAAGTAACTATCACTCTTTAAGGAAAAGGTTTTCTTAACTCTCCTGCTCAAAGAAAACAAAAAAGACTAAGAAAATACATAAATATACCCATCATAGAGAAAATATTTTGATAGCAAGTCAGAAACACTTGAATATTGTTCCTAGCACGGATCATGTTAATCCAGCCATCAATGAAATAGGAATTTCCTTTTCTACACAGCTATTTCAGTTTTGTGCAAATGCAGTTGTAGTGAATGTTGTAAGAAGGTCAAAACTAGAAAAAATCCTTTTATTACTCATCCATGAAAATTTTACAAAAATACAGTTGTTATGCATGTTGAGAAGGAAATGGTGTTCCTCTGACACACATCTTGTGCCTCCCCACGTTCCTGTGCAGAGGTACAAAGCTAAGATAATTGTTATCCAGTTCCCTCAAACCCAGGAGCCTGTAGCACATCAAAAGGTCTGAAAAGTAGGGATTAGAAGATAGATCAAAAGACAAGACACCAACAACTTAAAGGATGCAGTTACGACATAGCAAGAAACAGTTGTGTGAGCACCTCAGAGGGAATTTCACTGCCAGTGAGTGAGGCAGCACGAAGGTGTTGGAGAACACCTTGGCAATCAGAAGGGCAGTCAATAGTCAGTAGCCCAGGCCAGCAAGAAGAAATGAGAATACAAGTAAAATCATCCCAACAGTGGCAACATTCCATCAGACTTGATGCATTCCCTCTGGTGCAGAAATTTGTGCCGTTTCCCCTGTGACAGGATGTCCATGATAATGGACCCCCAGTGAGCGGATTTGGTCTGTGACAGACTCCAGAACACGGCATGTACAAAGCCTGTTTAAATATTGTGACAGGTTTGTGACAGCTCCTGACAGCTGGAGACTAGAGGGAGATAGAACCACTGAGATTAACCATTGCTGATTATTTTTACAGCAGTAGCAGCCTGAGCTGCAAGCTGGTGTTTTGTCATATGGCATCTCAATAAGGAGTTTGCAAAATGCCCCATCCCTGGAAGTGTTTGAGGCCAGGCTGGACTGAGCTTGGAGCAACCTGGGATAGTGGAATGTGTCCCTGCCCATGGCAAGGGGTGGAATGAGATGAGCTTTGAGGTCCTTCCAGCCCAAACCAGTCTGTAATTTTTTGGGTGGGTTTTTCAGCCACTCAAAGATGTTTAAGAGGAAAAGTGGGAGGACTGCAACTCCTCCAGTCTCTGACAAATATACCCAGGCACGTCTGCACCGGTGCCTCGCACACCAGTGTAGTCCTGTGTGCCCAGAACACACCTCCACCACGATCCCAGGCACAAGTGCACCCAAAGGAACCGACAGGTTGTAAAACCAAATTCCTGTAACTTTAACACTTAAGAAAATGCTGGTGTTTGCCTTAAGGTTGGTATAGAAGCATTGCCAAAATAAATGTTAAAAAAAAAAAAACAAAACAAAAACCTTTTTTGTTAAACTCTCAGTATTACATTTTGGTCACATTTAACCGAGCACGACTGTTCCACCTCTCTTGTGCACTATGTGATAATCACTGCACTATCTCAGTATCTTTAAGAAGCTGAAACAGTCCTGACAGATCCCAGAAGTTCCTCATCTGGCATTTCATGCAAGGCAGCTGCCTGACAGCTTCACTAGCCACTAAACCCAAGAGCTGCAAGATAGTGCTTTTCTCAGCCAAGTTTTTATAAAGCTTTTCTGATACTTCATCCCTTCCAACAACACACTTTTATCTGCCCCTGTTACTTGCCAGACTCAGCCTCTGCCAGACGCAGTTTTTGAAGGGCTGCGGCTTTTGGTTGTGTCTGTTTGGTCTTTAATTAGGTATTAAACCTTACTTGCAGTTAGATTGTATATGGTTATTTCAAGGACATTGAGAGTCATGCAGGATGCTAGTTACCAACAGTGGCTGCCATGTGACTGGGACACTGGGAACAGGATCAGCCCCTGGAGAGAAGCATCCTGCACTGAATCATTCCAAGCAGAATTTGCTAAGAGATGGCAGCAATTCTCATTTCTATCTACATTTTCAATACTCCATCCCTTTTTCTTATTCAACACAACTGTTAAAATACTTTCCATGTTCCATTTTTACCTTGTCCTCATGAAATATGAGCCAAATGCCATGTCTTGTGTGAGGGCTCTCCACACTGACAGCTCTCTGTTAGCTCATTCATTATCTATTCAATACACCTAACATACTCACAGGCCAAAAAACTCAAGGATATCCTTGGTTCTCCCCTTAGACTTAAATTTCTGTAAGTTTAAGACCGTTTAAGAGGCACAGTAAAAACTAATTTATAAGCTTATACATATTTAAAGCTGCAACACAGTCTCTTACACACTTTGTATTAAAAAGCCTTGTTATCTTTATGCTGCAGCATCTTTCAGTGGTTTGTAATAGCTTTCTAATATATTTATCAGCCAGTTCCTACTTGTTATCATCACTGAGTACTGGTGATATGCACTGAACACACTTCATTCCACCTTCCAGCAAGGCCTTCTCTGTCATGAGCATAAAACCCACTCCTCCTAGACAGAGTTTTCCTTTTAACCTCTTTGGTGTCATTGTGAAGTCTTTAGTTTAGTAGCTGGTTACGCTTAAATAAGCACAGGCCACAGGAAAATCAGTTGCCACAACCTTATAGTTCTTATGTGATCTCCTAAAGATGTATGTTGTTACGTTAGGTCATATTATGCAACACAGAAAAAACCCTCTGATAAACCAAATTATCAAACCAAAATACTAACAGGTCAATGGCAAGAAATTAGCTGGAAATTATAGTTTTATCTCTTTCTTAATGATGTATTTTCCCTGTTTTCTTAGGCAGAAGGATCGTGAAAACCAACCATAAATTACCTGTCAACATCAGCAGCACTTACCATTACCTCTTAATCTAGACTTTTAGAATCACAGAAAAAATGCTGTGCCTCAGTATGAAATAATGCATTTAGCTTTATTCTGATAAATCTGAAGAGAAAGCAAACATGAGAGTTACCACGAGCAAAACAAAACTGGCAGTTTCCATTCAGTGGGACAGAAGGTGAAGCTGGGAAGGGAAATGAAGTTAATACTGATGGTAACACGAAGGGAGAAATGTTCTTTGTACATGAGAAACTCACCAGAACTGTTCGCCCTTGGGAAATAAAGAAATGGCCAGAAACCACAATGGTAAGGACAAGAGGGCCTGATTCTTCATTTGATTCAAACACCTTCAAAAAGAGAGACAAAAAAAATCTGTCCCTATAAGCACAGAATCTGTAATTGCCCTTTCTAATGCAAAACAAAAGGTTTCAAAGCTCGGTGCAACTTGCCCTACACTCCCAAAACAGGAGGCACATTCTATGACTTTTTTATTAATTATAGCTCGATATCCAGTTTTAACTACTTTAAACAACCTTCTGGACTCTTCTAACTTGATCTCTACATTTCAATACCACAGGTCACTGCTGAATGAAAGAATAAAAATAGAAAATTCGGGCTACTAACTAATCTACCTCTGATCTGCTGACACTAATAATTCACGAAGCAAAACTTCTGCAGATTCCTGCATTAGCTCTGGACTTTGAAAAACACACCTGAAGGCCTCATGTAACCCTGCATGCCTCACAGCGGAGCCAGTTACCGCACACCGCCCCGCCGCCCCCAGCACCTTCCACGAGGTGTTTTGCCCCTCATCGTCCCCGTCCCTCGGCGGGAGGAAGCGGCCATAGCGCTTCAAGGGCCACGTTTTGGCGCTGCCGAGGAGGGAGGTGTCGCCGGCACCGCCCGGCGCTGCGCCCGGGCCGGGCTCTGAGCCGCGAACGCCGCCGGCCGCCGCCATGGGGCGATGACGGGCCGAGACCGCGGCCTGAGGGCGCTGAGGGGGCGAGAGCCCTGGAGGGGCGGCGGGCGGCGCGCGGGAGCCGGGCGGGAAGCGGGAGCCAATAGGAGAGAGGAGAGAGCGCGTGGCGGGAGTCGCTTCGCCAATCAGCGCGAGGCGCTGGCGCTCGTGCCGCTCGTTCTGTTGCCGGTGGGGCGCGCGAGCCGCGGGGCGGTGGCTCCGCTCGCCTCGGCGGGGCTCTGCGCCACCTCCTGTGTTCCTGCTGTCCTTCTCTCCTTCCCCTTTCCTCCTCCGAGGGGAGCGCGGCTACAGCCTCCTCCTCCTCCTCCCAACAGCCTCCGGCCGTGCCGAGGCGGCGGCTCTGCCCGGCGGCGCCGAGGGGAGAGCGGAGCGCGAACCCCGCGGCGCGCGCGGCCGCCATTTTGTGGGGTGTGAGGGAGCGCGGTCTGGACGGCGCAGCGAGGAGGAGGATGAGGAGGATGAGGAAATGAAACTCCCGTGGGCTGTCAGTGCCCTTAGAGAAATGCCCATGGAAGCCGGCCACGATGTCAGCACACATCCTTCTGCAGGTGAAACACGGCAGGTCCCTGGAAAAACGCTGTCCTACACTCTCAACTGCCTTTCCATTCTTGGTGTGGTGCTCGCCTCACAGAGTTGCAACAGGGCTTTTGTGGTACCTGAAGTGGGGTCTCTCAAAAAAAGCTCTTCTCAGTGTGTGCTGGATGTTTTTAAACCAGCGTGGGCCAACAGCTGGATTAATAAATCAAAATTGCACTCTTCTCCCCATTTTACTCCCTCTCTGTGTTACTAGTTCGCTCCTACAATTACGGAATGCTACACTTTCCTGGCTGAGGAGTGATGGTGAAATGACTCATAATAAGACTGCACTTAGGTATTCCATTTATAGAACGTATCTTGGCCATTAACAATAATGTGCATGAGCCAGTTACGGTCACTGAGGGGGCAGGGAGGAACCAGGTACCATTTGGGACTGACCTGGACGGGCTTGTGGATGCCCATCACCACCAGCCTCCCTTAAACCATCAGCATGCCTAAGGGTGCCATCCCAGGAACTTTAATCCCAGTTCCCAGCATTGCCCACTGCCAGCAGCACATACCTGCCCAAGGTGAAGCTTGTCTAAATAATTATACTTCTTAAATTAAGAACAGAACAAAGTTTATGCCATTTTTTCCCCCTGCTTTTTCTTACTTTTATGGGTTGCAGCAATGATGCTGGCTGGGCTGATGGATAAGGTTAAAATAGAATGAGTGACTACTGTTTCATCTAAAACAAAACCTTGAAATGCAAGGTTAATCTATAAAACTGCGAATTTTAATCTATTATAAAATACCAGATTGACATTTATGTGGATGTTGTGTTTTTCATCCAATGTCACACCCCAGAGCCACTTTAACATCCGAGAACATTCCAAAATAAACAATTTTACAGTGTTTCCAAAAGGGAGGTGTTTATCTAAACATTCTGCAGAGAGGGAAACACAGGCATTAAATGACTTGACAAGGTCATCCAGAGAAATCAGCAATGAAACAGGGGATACAGCGTGGGCTTCCCAGCTGCCAGTTGCCTTGTCTAATCACTGCTTCCCCACAAGGATTTCTCAAATTGTGCTTGTCAAACATTCAGAATTTGCCTGCAGACTTGGGACTTTCTTGGAATCTACAGAAGAAGCTGAATATTACTGTCAGAGAAAGACAGTACGAGTACAAGTAGTGAATCTATTTTTCCTCTAGTTCAGATGAAGTCTGTGGAAAACAGTTTGTTTGCCGTGTCTATTTTCCAAGAGGGATTTCTGGCAGATGTGCTAAAGGCTTCTGCAGGGGGAAAACAAAAGCTTAGTATTTTACCAAACCAAAATTTCAAAATGTGGGTTTGAAAGAGGCAGAAGGAAACCAAGTGCATCAGAGACTTCCATCTGCTCATGGGTTTTTGCTTGACTGGGGTCTGCTGGTTTGCTTTTGCTTTTTGGATGTGAATGCCTTATGCTTTTATATGTCTGTGTAGTAAAACAAGCATTGTGTTAAGGCTGATACACAAGCTCTTGCTGATTCTGATTTCCTTGGGGAATTGCATGATTAGTTGTTGATTCAGAGAACAGTCATGCAAGGAAATGGTTAAAAATGTTTTGTTGGGGTTTTCTTTTGGTTTTTTTAAAGGCTAGATAGGCTGCCAGTTTTTTAAAATGACAGAATAAAATGTAGAAGAAAGAGACAGGTAAAAAGTGTCAGGAGACTGACAGGTTAAAATGTGTTTCATCAGAGATGAGAAGGCAAATCCCACATAGGAGCTGAGGGTTTATCATTGTGATGTACTTCACAGACTGCAGTGGTACAAGTTAATTTTCTCACTGCAGAAGTACCTGGTCCTGTCAATAAATTACAGAAACTCTGCCAAAAGCACAGAGAGATCCATGCAGGAAGAGAGATCCATTCCTGCACGATATGGATTTGATAATGTGTTAATACTGTTGTTAGATGTTTAATAGTTGATTTTGGTCCTGGACATTTTGCTGAGCCATCTAAATTATTGATTTTTAATAATAATGGAGGTAATAACAGCAACAATAAAGTCACATCACCGTGACCATCGAGTGTGAGTGTAGATTTGCCACAAGTGCAGGAGATGGACTGGAGTAGCTCATACAAATTGGACAGAGAGTGTATTAACAAAATCAAGGCTGCCAGGTGCATGAAATGGATAAAATGAGGTACAAAAGGTAGATTTTAGAAATTCTGGAGGTTTCCCTGTGGTACTGACAACTTCCCATCTGCTTCTACCCAGCTATGATAAAAGGATGAATGAGATTACTCCAGAGACATAAATAACAGGCTAGTGAGAATGCTTTATTCAGAATACTTGATTTATTGCTTTGATTTCAGTAATAAATAGTGTTACCTTATACTTTAGTTGCTTTGTTAGAAGTTGTGGTATTTCCTGAAGTTTATTCCTTTAATTAATGTTTCCCACAGTTGCAGTCACAGCCTCACTGCCCACATCTCTCAGTTCTAATGAAAATACAGCATCTGGGATTATTGCCCAGCAGTTCTGTACCCCTCCCAAAATACCCTCACCCAGTTCTGCCCACATGTGTCAGCGTGGGGGAGTTGAATTTAGAGGTTGAAGCCATGTGTTGTTCTGGGCTCTGGTACGTGCTCTGGTGGCCTTGGCTGTCCTGAGGAGCTTCATGTTTTAGGACACCTCATTCCCCAGCTATGTGAGCTGCAGTCACTGAATTTTACCCAGCAGTTTTACCCTGTTTCACTTTTTTTCTTGACAAAATCTGCCCCTTTGCAATAAGCTTTACATTTTTAAATGAAAACCAGAAACTAAATCAATGCATTTATGACTAAAGGTGGAAGTAAAGTCTGATGACTTGTGTTTGGCACCAGAATCCCACAGAATCCAGAACTTATTTGGGTTGGGATGGATCTTAAAAACCATCCAGTTCTACTCCCCTGCCATGGGCAGGGACACCTTCCACTATCCCAGGTTGCTCCAAGCCCCATCCAGCCTGGCCTTGGACACTTCCAGGGATGGGGCAGCCACAGATTCCCTGGGTAATCTGTGCCAGGGCCTCTCTACCCTCACAGGGAAGGATTTCTTCACAATATCCCATCTAACCTTGCCCTCTGGCACTTTAAAACCATTGTCTGTTGTCCTGTCACTCTCTGCCCATTCAAAAAGTCCCTCTCCCTACTTTTTGTAAGCTCTCTTAAGGTATAGGAAGGCCACAGTGACATCTGCCTGAGCCTTCTCTTCTCCAGCTGAACACCCCCAGCTCTCCCAGCCTTTACTCATAGCACAGGGGCTCCAGCCCTTGGAGCAGCTCCGTGGCCTCCTCTGGGCTCACTCCAGCAGCTCCAACATCTTTCTTGTGCTGAGGACCCCAACTGTAATTTGCAGTTATATTTCACAGTCTCTCTCTTCACTGGCCATGTCAAGATGAATATTGGATTGAGAATCTGCCCTTCAAGCCCCACAAGAATTAAAGGGTCCTTCTGGCTCAGTATCTTCGATTATCCTTTTTCCCCCAGAAGTTAATCGGTTTTAGTGTGTCTTCAGGAATTGATCCTGTTAGTTCACACGTTGTTTCTGTTTATCTAGTGGTGACATTCCTAACTTGTCAAGTGTCCTATACCTGAATGACACCTTCACTGGATGATCTTTAAAGTCCCTTCCAACCCAAAGCATTCCATGATTCTATGATCTTACTCCCTAAATTATATTATTTGTGAGGATGCTTGAGCTTTACAGGGCAGCTGTGGAAGCTCATAAAGTAGAGTGTGTTATGTGCACACTTAGTTGTGTGAGGGACAGACCAAAGCCAGCGTGAAGCCCCCTGACTTCACTGTGCCATTGGCCTCGCTGTGTGATCAGAGGCTGCTCCAGAAAGCCTCAAACTTTTTCTAGGGAAGGTCACATTTTTTCAAAGTATAATTTATTTGCACTCCCTTTATTTCCTTTTAGGTTGTCTAACTTTAGCACTCATGGTACAGATGAAGGAGCTGCTGCCTCACAGATTTTTCCATTTACATAAAAAACCCACCCACAAACACCCTTCACTGTCAGTGCATCCATTTTGCTGAGTGCTCTTCATTTTCCATGACCTTGAAAACATAAGGGCGTTTATTAATTAATTCAAATTTCCAGCTGGGTGGAGGGGAGAATTGCAGATCGGAGATAAGCAATTTGTTGTGTGCCCCTTATTTGATGAGGATTGTGGAAGGAGAAATAGTCCAAGCCATTGCCAAGATTTCCCATTCCAATCAACTCTTGTGTTTCATTTAACCACTGGTTAAAGAGTGACCCTAGCAGGAAGAGAAGAATCTGGACTTGGAGTAATTATTGTAAACTGAATTCCTCACAGCCTTGCATATGGACAGAGGCTGGAATTATCCAAGTTTTTAACTCTTGCACTGATTAGCTCTGGATGTTTCCTAATGTAAACCTGTATATACTGTTATAATCATAACAATAACAG